TTAAAAGCCTTGGACTTCTGTTGCGCTTACTATTAACAAATGTATACACATTAGATAAGCAGATATTCAGATTAACCTTTCCCTGCTTGCAGAGTTGATAACTTCTATTTAGTTACAACAACATCAAGGAAAAATACCCTGAACCTATTGCAGTTTTAAGGTAAATTATGTACTCTCCAAGACAAGAAATTCATACTATAGTAGTCAGTCACATATATGCAGAATAGTGTATTGACATACATCCAGATATATACATGTGTACGTATATTCATGTATCTCTGCATATATATAGATCTACAGAACTACAGATTAGAGTCTAGGGTTGACGAACTACAGTCACATGAGACGTATCTATATATAGGTATTTAGGTATATATCTACATATATGTATCTGTCTGTATATATGTATAACTAAGAAAGCAAAAGGCACTGCAGAATTGAGATCAGAATAAAGGCACAGTATGTGTTTGACATGCTATTTAAATTATTTGGAGTGTATGTAGTATGCCATGAGGTGCAAAGCCAAGACTATCGTTTGCTCCTCCTGAACAATTCTATAATATTCATCAAAACCAGTACACAACCCTTCACTCCGTAAGACACACACTGCTGTCTTTAAAGACTAAGCAAACAGAACTTATTACCACGCAAGCTATTTGACACAACCCAGAGCATTGCCTAACTGACTTCTTTTAGTTTCACTTGCCTGAAAGATCTACTGCAATTTTAGGCAGAGTTTGCAAGTTCTTATACCCCAGGGTCACTATAGTAGCTTTGTGGTTGTATTCAACTGCCTCTATGAAAATTCAGAATGGCATCTTTGAAACAACAGGAACAGCACCCATCTCCTCAGAAGGGGACAAAAAAACTGAATATTTAAACAGAATGGTTGTTCACAGACAGTTATGTTTTATATAACATTTAAAGCACAGTATTTCACAACATTTCAGAAGCATCTGAAGTTCAGGGTTACTGAAATTACTATTCAGTCATATTGCTTCAACCAGATGTAGGTTGTGTAAATGAAGCTTTATGAATGGCCTGGATGACTATCACTGCTCACAATGAAGTAATCTGTTGAGGTGTGTCCCCCTAGTCAAATTAAGAGCATCTAGCTAAAATACAGTTAACAGAAATAAAACTTAAAAAAACACATGAAGACTCAAATTAAAGCATATTATGGAATATGAGCAGTAACATCCATTTTTTACCGTGAAATTATCAAAAGGCTCAAGGCATATCTAAAGTGACATTTGACTATGACCTATTAACACATCTCTAAGAGCAGAGTTTCTTATAACAGATCAGTTGTACAACGTACTTACGGGTCATTTTCTTCAAGGCAATTACTCTATCACACTTAAGGGAAGATAAGTGCTCAGAACTCTTAATGTTAATTCAAAAGCCCCCAGTTTACAAGAATTTCATGCAAACCTGTATTTACACCAATTAAACCTCGGTTTTGAAGTGTTAAGAAACAGGTTACCATCTAGTTAATTCTACCAAAGCATTTGTCCTAGTTTAACCTTAACAGATAAAAAACATTTCTCTTGAAAAGACAGCGTGTATTTTATAACTTATATGATAAAGCATAAGTTGAGAGTTCATGCTTCAAACTATGTGCTACAAGCATAAAACTCATTACATAAATAAACAGTAGAGAACACCATTTCCAAAAATGCCTACACAGTTTTTTTTTTTAACTTAAAAAAAATAACACAGAGAGATATAATACTCTTACCTTTCTTCACTAAGTTTCCAGATCATATGCTTGCCTTACAAATTTTAAAAATATCTTCACAGATACTTAAGAGGTGCATTAATGGTATTTGAATTAGAAAGGTTTACACAAATGCACATTAATACACAGACAAGCTTTTAAGAAGGGTGTTTCCCAAGTGCTACGGCTATGGTTGAATATAGTATTTGTGATATCTTTAATGCTATTTCAGAAGGTACAGGAATTGGAACAAAATCAATGTCACGATTGCCACCAGGACATGGACTTTCACTATGTATCTTGGTAGTCTTGATCAGTGATTTCCAATATTCTAGATTGCTAACTCATTTTTAGTAGTCTTAGACATTTTGGGAAAGAGCATCTTTTCTAAAAACAAAAACAAAAAACAAACCCAAAATAGGGAAGGCAAGTTTTACAACATCTGGCATAGCAGTGCTTACAATCAGCTTAGCTTTTATCATTAGAAGTCAAGCACATTCCACCTCCCCTTTTTTTAAACAGGATTTTCACAAAACAATGAAGTAGAAGTACTTAAAAATAAAAAATTCAAAAATAAAACCATCAAGAAGTTAAAAGCATAGAAACTACCTTTTTACCTGTTTCAAATCAATGACTCATTCAAACCCCCTTTCAAACTTTAGAAAACAGGACACTGAGTTCTTTACTACCTCCAAATCTAAGAGTTTCAGCTTAGATGGATAGAACAGAACACAGATACACAATATTCAGTTGCTTGAGTTAATTACCAGTGTCCTCTTGAACGAAAGGTATAAAAAGCTCTGAGACCAGATGTAGGTACCTAGTAACTCCTTGCACAGTTGTTAAAAATCAGTATTATTTAGGCTGATGACCCAAGACAGGATCATTCTGACAACACTGCCTCCAGACAACAGCTGAGGGTCCCCCACACAGTACCCCTTGCAAAAACCACAAACACTTTCAGCCATTCTCTGTGTTCCGTGACAACAGATTAGCCAGAGATGCAACGCAAAAGATTAAAGCAAGACTGTCATATATCACAAAACATTTGAAACATAATACTTGATTTTTTAAGGTAAAGCTCTACACTATTCATATTTCAGTTCTCCTACAATTGTAATCTACGTCAGACAAACAATAGAAATGAGAGTATCAGAATGCTTTTGTCAAGACTATCGCATAAGAACACAAAAACGTGTTAGTTGTAAATAAATTAAGTGAAAAAAAATGAGCAAAAAATATTTATTGAGGTCTTCCTAAAATCTAGAAAAACTGTTTTCTTTGCCTCTACACAGAGCTTTGACTTCCAACCCTTGTTTGATGTAAGACATATGTTCATTATAGAAAATCAGAATCTAGAGCATGCTGGTTGTATTCATACAACATGAAACACCAAGAGGAAGCAATCTATACTTATTCCCTTTTGCCCAAATAGCAATGTCAGCAGAAAACAATGAAAAAGTAAGTTCTTGGATGTATTATAACCATACTAGTAAAATCCCAACCCACATTACTTTAGGAAAAAACCCACTTGCCCCTATATCCACAGATACATGCTTATTGGCAAAACACAGAAACAAGTCTATGTTTTCAAACCATCCATTTCATTTAAACCTAACTGTGCACACCCATAGTACTGAAGTGATCTCCTAATAAGTCCTGCTTACTTTCTAGTGTAAACTAATTAAAATTAAATACATTTGATTTACAGTAACAAACTTGCTATTGGTGCCTAGATTATACAATTTATCTTGTAAGCGGAGCAGTGGGGAAATAATCACCTTTCCACCTTCCAAGTGGAACATGTTTTCATGTATGTCAGTGGTATTATTAAACTGCAGTCTTAGTCATCTACACTGTGGACTTTCAATAACATTCTGCCAGACTAATCAGCCTACCTGCACATAACCCTAGCTTCCCTACCCTCTCTTCCAGCACTCCCTAGCACCTCTCTATCAAGTACTTTTAGTTCACACACTCAGGCCCAAATATAATTCCATAAGCCTATTACTCAACATATTCAAAGGCAATAAAAATATGAAAATAACTGTTTTCAATGGCTTTCACCGAGTATTTCATCCTCTTTTAGATTCCATTTTGATTGGAAATGAAACTATGAGTAACAGCAATTCCTATTCCACAAATTTCCCACTGCTTAGCAGCAAAAGTACATCCTGCACTTAAATGAGAAAAATACAACTTCCTCCTTCCCCCCTCCCAAAACACTCTACTAAGTCTTAAAGAAAACAGAATACTGAAGCTTTTTACCACCTTCACCTCTTTTTTCTTGTTTTTTCAATAATTTTACAGAGCATCTAAGCATGGTTCTGTTAAAAAAAAAAAGAAAAAAACACAACACCAAAACACATACTAAAAAACCAAAATACCCCAACATGTTCATAGTGAAAAAAAAATAATCAGTAACTACGATTCTTGTTGCCATACTAATCTATATCTGCTTTACTACACAGAGGTGAATATTGAGACTAATGGGAATATTAAGGCCAAAGATCAGCATCCTAGTCTCCTGATTTTCCTATACTTTATTACACAAAAATCAAATAAGAAAGTTTGAAATGGAAAGTATTAAGAAGACAAAAGAAATTCTGAACGCAAGTGTTTCCAAAGCATTTAACGCTGTTTCAGGTAATACATCTTTCTCACGAAATGCCTTGCCAGTTAGTTCCTACAATCCTATTTTCCTATTTTTTAGCAGCATTCTCTTTCCTTGCTGCTCTATGAAAGCAACAGGAAAGCTTACTGACTATACAGTTGAAAGATACAGAAACAACATGCTGTCAAATAGAGAAATTGAAACAAAAGCTATTTTTTCGTACAGAGGTGCCACTACTAAGAAGAGAGGATTACAAAAGTTTTGTATACCATTTGACTATAACAAAGCTAAAACGTTAGGCTATTTATCAGATATGAAATGGCAGAAGTGTGTTAGGAGATCTAGTATTTAACATAAAGGTGATTAAAAAAACAGCGTTTTCCACTAGTCTAGGCCACTCTTTCTGTAAAGTGCATGTAGTTTATGGGAACAAGACAGACTCATCAGTACAAGAAAAGATGTTATTTTGTGTTTATAGCAACTATGTTACTAAAACTATCACTTAATGAAACAGTTCTGTCAAAGTATTTAACATTTAAATCCTTGTGTGAAGATGCTCTATTCAGCGAAACAGATTTAGAAGTGATCCTATCGCTCCAACGCTGTTCTTCATCTTACATATTTCTCTCTTCCTTTCCCACACGCTCAGATGTTTCGGCAGCATACTTCAGTATTTGCAAAATCCTGCCCAAAGAGCGTGGCCGATTTCCCACGGGCTCCCACCCCACCCTGGATGAACTCGTTACTTCCCAAAGTCCACTCCACTTCCTCTTCCACCCCTGGACCTGCCAGCACTCCCAACACCCCTCCGCCTTGCGCAACATCCGCGGCCTCCTCCCCACATTTCAGACAATCCCCGATGCGACATTTACATTGAGATTTTTTTTGTTCCCAGACCACTAGCAAAGACTGACAGCTTAAAGGGATAACGATGTGGTTTTAATCCCAAATAGCACTGGATAACAGAACAAGCTACAACGATACACATACAAGGAGGTCACTAACCCGCTCATCTTCAGCTCTTCTGTGGGTCAAAGTATATTCTGATATTAAGTATTTAAACAATATTGAAAAGTGCCAGCGACATCTGCCCAATCAAAATTATTGTTCACCGCTGAGACCATCCATTCAAAAGATAAATCTCCTCAAACATTTTAACAGCCCGATTAAACAGCTAAAATAAACCAGGAAAAGAGCTAATTCTCCAATAAATTCTTCCCCTGAGCACACACGTTAACCAAAGGCTGACGGTGAACTGATCTGGAAGGAAGAAAGGACGAGGGATACAGGCAGGGCTGCGATGGGGGATGGGGAGCGAAGGGAGATGTTAGGGAAGGGAAGATGAATATTCCTCCAAGGACTATTCAATCCATTTAACACGTCTCCTCGGAAAGAAGAGAAATCTCAAGCAGGCGGCTACAGAGGCAGATAAAGAGCAAAAGGAGGGAAGGAGTGCCCGATTATCCCCAGGTGACATTATACACGGCAACCCCACGAGAAAAGGGGCTGTAAGGGAGAGGAAGCGCTAACAGCCC